GGGCAGGGCCGCGAAGGGAGGCCGGCCTCGCGGATGGGGGGCGGCGCGGAGTGGCAGGGCCGGCTGGGGGGCTCGAAGCCCGGCGGAGGAGAGAATGCCATGCTCTCGGCAGCCCAGCGTGAGCTCTCGGCCCTTGCCCCCACCCTCTAACACCCCATTTCTGAATCCGGTCATTCCCTCCCCCGCCAAAAAAAAAAAAAAGTGGTAGATTTTTGAATCAGAATCTGACCAGTAGCAAAAAGTCAATTAAGGGCAAAATGGAGAGTACCCCTAAAACGAAGGAAAAGTGCCCTGATTAGTGAACTCAGGCTATCAGTCGCCCCCCTCCCCTCCTCCTCCAAATCTGAAAGGTCCCAATTAAGTCGGGCCTGCCTGGTTGGTAATTAGAACCAGAAGTGGCCAGGCCACAGAGAGGGGGTTGGGAGGGGGCACAGAAGGAGTAGGGGGAGGGCTCCAGGAAGTCATGAGTCCTCAGTAGCCCCCCTTTCTCTTCACCAGATGCACCCCACTCTTCATTACCCCATCTGTGTGCTTCCCAAGCATTACAAGAGGCCTTACAAGGGACCAGATATTAGGGTGTAAGGCCCAGCCTGCCCATCAACCCCAACCCCCCATTCTAGACAGTACAATCTTGACTAGAAGGTAAAAGGATGGGGGAATCTAGTGCCCCCTCTTTTCCCCAAAGTCCCCCCAGCCCTTATTGCAGCAATTAGACCCATTAGCCTTCTAGCATTTCATGGGAACCAGATGTTCTCCACCAGCCTGGTGGGAGTATGAGGGGGGGCTGCTGCCTGACTCACCCCCTTCCCTAGGATCCCCACCACCATAGCATACCCCTCCCGTTAGAGCCCCACAAAGGGATGGCCCCACAGGCAAGGAGAGCTTTGCCCCACCCCCACGGAGGAACCCACTTGCACTCAGTCTGGCCAGTCACCCCTGGTCTATGCCACCCTGGCGAGGATGAGGTTGGCCACCAAGGGACTATGGGGGAAGGGATGGCTGAGCCCGCACCCCTCCATCCCCCACCTCTTGCCACCTTCTGGATGGAGCTTGAGGATAACTGGCTGGAATTCCTCATGCTAAATTCTTTTTTCTTCCAAATCCTTCCCTCAAAAAAACTGAAGAGGGGGCATTTCAAAGCGGAGTGAGCCCCGCCCAGGGGTAAGTCCCGACCTGGCGGAGTCCACCTGAAGGGCACTGGGAGGGCGCAGGAGGAGGGGACCCAAAAGAAGCGGTGGGATGGTGGGACGGGAAGCGTGAAGGTGCTGAAGGGAGAACAGCACGAGGCGGGATGGAAGGAGCCCTGGCAGGATGGGGGCTGGGGCCGGGTAGGGGGCCAGGAGAGGGGGTGCAGCCTGGGCCCCAGCGGCGGCGGCTTGCCCGGCTCCCCCCGCCAGAGAGGTTTCCTGTTGCAATCAAAGCCCCGTTTGTGTCAGCCTGGAGCTGGAGCCGGGGCTGAGGAGAGACCGGGAGGGGAGGGGAAAGGAGGCAGTCGCGGGGCTCTTTCCTGGAGGAGGCCTTGCTGCCGCCTGCTGTCCGCAGCCCGCGGCCACCAGATCAGACCCGACCCGACCCGCCGGCTCGCCCCTGGCCTCTCCCCCTGCCCGGTTCTGTGTCTGCGCCTTTGGGCCTGCACAGTTCTAAGTCATCTCATGGGTCGATGAGTCTCTCTGGACGTTTCTTTTACGCAGAGCTCTGCTTCTTGCTGTGTAAGCCTCCCTCAGTTTCTCCGTCTGCCTCAAGGGGCACCGTCCCACCCTGTGCCCCTGGGACGCGGTCACCAAATTCTGAGGACAAGCTGGACCAGCTTCTCAGGACCACAGATACCTCCTCAAGCAGGAGGGAGAAAAGGACAAGGTTTCCCCTCCCTCCCGGCACATGCTGTTCCCGGGAGTCTCCACGAGGCAAACGACCACACACTAGTGTATAAGCAGAACCACACGGGATGCTGCGGCACTCGTGAAGGTGTGTGAGCACCCGAGAGTGCACTTCCCCTGGCACTCAGGCCTGCGCAGCACATGCCCCCCCACATGGTCAGTTCTGAACCGCCCGCCTGCTCCCCCTGGTAAGCCCCAAGGCCCCCATTGCCCTCCCAGGACCCAGGACCGCATTTCCTAGGTGCCTGTGCCAGAGACCTAGCAGTAGGATCCAGGGGTCAGCCACAGGGAGAACGTCCAGACTCCGTCACAGACACCCTCGTGCCCTGGCCGGAATGAGAGAGGTTGAAGGAAGACACAGGCTCGCTCGCGTGCCGTGCGGGGTGCAGCTCCTCTCCACTAGCAGGCCCCAGCCAAACCCGGGCAGCAAGTCAGGAGGGAGAGCAGGGAGTGGGAGGGCACTCCCCTCTGGCTTCGCTGCCCAGGCCCTGCTCCCCAGACTCGGGGTTCTCTCCTCTCCCCTCAGCTCCCCGTTTGCCACCAGGGGCCTCGGTGCCTGCTAGCTCAGAGACCAGCCTGGACCAAAGTCCCCCCTCCTCCCCTCCCAGCTCTCTGCCCAGGCCTGTCCCAGCCGCCAGCCACACCCTCCCCTTACCTGTCCAGGTTCTGGCTCCTCCCTGGATTTCTCCTTTCAGCCCCCTCCTTCAGGGCAGTCTTTGGGGACTGACCCCAGCCCTTCCCTTGACCTCACTTTGAACCCTGACCTTGCTCTCAGAGTGTCCAGACACTCCCAGCTCCCAGCACTTCCCCACTCCCGACTTCGTTCTTTCTCCCTGTTGCCTTTCCCACAACCTGGGAAAATCAAGTCGCAGGGGCTGGCCTCGTGTGGTGCTGAGCAAGAGGGAGAGGGACGTTCCTGCTCCTGCAGAGAGGTGGCCCCTTCCCGCCTCCCTGGGCCCTCAGACTGATTCATGGGACGCAGATGAGGTGGGGGAAGCCCACGGAGGTTTCCAAACAGGGGTTCACCGTGTGCCACCTAAGTAACCCCTGTTGGACTGCAGACATGCCACCGGCAGGCCCCCCAGACACCAGCCAGTCACACTGTGGGCAACCCTATTAAACACTGCCTCGCTCCTCACACCGACTCTGTCGTAACGCCGGCATTCGCGTCTGATCAGACTCAGGGCAGAGGGAACACACCGAGCTGCACGCGGGGCTCACACACGCGTGTGCATACATGCACCCATGTGCTCACACCTCCCCTAGATGCGCACACCCTCTCCATCGCTGCCAGCCTCTGCGGTCACCCCTCTGCACGACACAGCTTCCCCAGGGCCCCTCCTGAAGACAGGGCCCCGTCCGCGACAGGGCCCGTCCACGACAGGGCACGCATCTTTATCTTTTTGTGTTTTTCTCTCCATATCCCGGAATCTCTCTGGAATTGCCCCTCTCTGGCTCGCCTTCCACCACCTCCTCTTCTTCCCAAACGAGGCCTTCTCCATGCCAGCTCACTGCTGACTGTGTCCCCAACACCAGCCTCCCTGCCCACGGGCGCCCTTCCTGTTCACGCCTGCAGTGGCCTGGCCAGAAGGGACAGCCACCTAGCGGGAGGAGAGGGGACCCAAAGGGAAGAGGAGCGGACCCTGCTTGCCTGCTGTCAGCACTCAAAGGCTTAGCCCAGGGAGGGCAGGCCTGAGGGACAAGTAGGGATCTGCACAGCATGGGCACCATGCCAGGCCTGGAAGGAGGGGAGCAGTCCAGAGCCCACATGGCTCCAGGAGAGGATGCTTCTGGAACACCCCTTCCACCTCCCCAGGTGACTTGCGGTGCTAGGGCCACCTTCTGCGTGGCTCTTTCCCCCTCCCCTGAGCCAAGTGGAGAATCTCCTGACCCCCACATCTGCAGACACCTGCACTGGGTTCCTTTCCTCTCTCTGCAACCTCCCCTAATGCAAACCGATTTCACCTCTCCCTCATACTGGCAGCTGACTGGGTCCCCACCCCTCCTCCTCCCCCCCCCCCTGCCTCCTCATTCCACCCCTCACCCCCACCCCCCCATTCCTGCCACTGCACGCAGGCTGCAGTCTCAGACTCACCAGACCCACCCTTGGCTTGCCGGGCAAAGGTGCCCACATTTGCCAGGTGATTTACACAGGAGGCCATTTTAGGCCCACGAATTTCGGACACGCCGTCCATCCTACTCAAGCAGGACCCTCATCTGCAAGTTCTTTCATTTGCTCCACATACAAGCCCCCTCCACCACCACCACCCACGCTCTCTCTGTGCCTTCCTACCTGGGCTGCCAAATTATTTTTAGCATCCAGCCACCAAATGCCCTCCTTTTCCCGCTTGCCCTCATCCCCCAAGATCCCTGAGACTCACACAGAGAAGCCATCTCCTTGGGAAGGTCAGGCTGGCCCAGGCCCCGGAAGCCAGGGCTCAGCATCTCGAAAGGTGGAGACCCCCTGAGAGCTCCTGGGAAGGCAAAGGGGAAGCCGGCCCCCGGGTAGCCAGATCCGGGCCCCAGGGCGCCTGCCGCAAAGAGTCGCTCCTTATTGGTGGCCATGGCCGCAGTGGTGAGGCAGGGGGAGGCCCCCCGGGTCTGCAGTGGGCGGGGGAGGCCTTCAGCCACAGCCCCCGCCCATGCCCACTGCCCGGGCCTGGGAGGCTCCGTGCCCACCCTGCCTGGACCGCCGGCCGCAGTCTCCAAGAGTCCTAGGGAGAAAGAGCGAAAGAGGAGCGTGAGAGGGTGACCACCCGGTGCCTGGGCCAGCCGTGGGCACTTGCCCTCCGCTGGCAGGGGAGGGGGGAAGGGGCCGCGACTGCCTGCCCAGGGTCCTCTAGTGGACAGCAGGAGAGGCCGCAGGTGTTGACAGAGACTCAGGAAGTCTCAGGGACAGGTGAGCTAAGTTTCCCAGGTGAACAATGGCGGGGTCCTGGCAGAGGGCTCCTCAGCTAGAAGTGAAGTGACCAGGGGGCCCGAGCTGGGTGAGACACTATGATGTCAGCCCTATGAAGTAGAAGTGATGCTCCCATCTCACAGAGGAGGCAACAGGCTGAAAGTGGTGGAGCCAGGATTCAAACTCTCTTGCCCTGAAAAAAGCAAATCTCTCTCTCTCTCTTGTTGGCTTGGGGCCCCCCCAACCCCCAGAGGACTGTGGTGCAGAGGTTTGCGTTATAGACCAGAAAGCCAGGCTACCTCACCTGATCTGATGCCCACAGCTTACTCGCTGTGGGAACTTGGATGTGCTACTTAATTGTTCTGTGCCTCAGTTTCCTCACTTGTCAAATGGGAATAAAAATAAGGCCCACCCCATAAGGTTGTTGGGAGGATGAAATGGTTTAACACACATAAAGTGTTCAGACTAATAACAGGGCAATACTGAATACCATGTGCGTGGCTCATAGGATTTCTCTTTGTACCTTCCTTCCTCCGTGCCTCTTATAATTAGCATTTCCCTCTCCCTTCCCCAATACTTCCTCTCCCAGTTACCCCTCCTAATTCTGCCCCACTTCGCTTCGCTCCCCTTCTTCAGATTCACAGATGTTAATGGAACCCCTTGTGTGCCCAGGCATGATGCTATGTGTGATCCTGGCCTTGTCCTCAGCTGACTGTTCTTCCACCTTCTTTTCGCTCCTCTCTGACTCCTCTGTTCCGTCAAAACCTCCCCTACACCTCCCACCTTAAATTCACAAGGCCCCTGAAATTTCTAACCAAAGGTGGGAGCACGAGGGAGGGAAGATTTATAACCCTACACTCTCGCCACGGGGGCTCCAGGTGTCCGACAAGGGGAAGGTGGATTTCCTGGGGGCCAGCAGAACACATCTTCCTAGGGAGTTAGGGGCTAGGGAAAGAGTCACCCCAGCCTGGCTGCTCCTCCGCCAGCCAGAAACATGACGAGCTGAGATGGAGAAGGATGCAGAGAGACTGAAACCCAGAGACCACTGGCTGAGCAGGTCCAGACGGACGAGGGGTTAGGTGTCTGCATCTTTCTCCATCTGGGTTTTCTTCTAGAATCTAACTCTCTAAGTCTTGCACCCCTGCTATGTTTTACTTTCTCTTTGATCTCTCTCCACCTAGGACTTCAAGGGTAACCGATCAAGGAGGGTTGAGGAACTGGGACCCCCACATCACAGCCCTCTACCTAGCCCCAAAGCCTGAAGCAGCTCCAGCCCAGCCCGCACTGGCGGCTCAGATCCCAGCACCCTGAGACCTAGCCTGTGTCTCCCCAGGCCCTAAAGCCTGAGCTCAGAACCCCCAGGGTCCCTCTCCTTTTCCTTCCCCGTTCCCTGAAGTCTTCATGGGGTAAAGACCAGGTGGAGCCAGGAGTCCGGGGCCCCAGAGGCCCCTAGGCCATAGCTCAACAGGCTGGGCCACATTCCAGGTGGATTAACCCCTCCAATGCCAAGGGTGAGGAGCTACTCACCCCCACCCCCACCCCCCACCATCTTCCCCAGACTGGCTTAGGAGAACCAGGCCGGCTGCTCCAACCGTCAGTATCTCTGCTTCTTGCCTTCAGATGGCAACAGGGTGTGGGGGAAATCGAGAGGCCCCGGAGGGGGTATCCCAGAGAGGGGGGCTCAGACTTCTAGCCCTCTCAGAGGAATGGCGCTGTAAATGGGCCAAGGACATCCCAGCCTTCCGTGGCCTTCTTCCTGGCTTGCCTTGGACAAGGGACCAGGTTGAGCGAAGAGGAGGGCCAGATACACATCCCATTTCAGAATCTTGGTTTCTCTGCCATGGCTGGGAGGGGAGGGTCAGGGTCAGAGTCCAGGGTAGGGGAGAGATGGAGACACTGAAGACCGTGATGCCGCGGGAGTAAAAGCCCGAATCTGGGAACCCGGATGCCTGGGTTCTTTGGGGGAACCTGAGGAAGAAAGAGCACATGTCTCTCTTCCAAGATGCCACCTCAGATGGAAGGGGGAGCAGGCAACTCGGGGAAAGGGGCCCTTACAAAGCTGCTTCTCTTGGAGCTGAGGTGGAGCTGAGGGGAGGGCATGGATGGAGGGGCTGCCGGATGAGGGGGGGCATCTCCCTGCAGCCCTGCCCGACCCAGAGTCTGGAACAAAGCTGCTCTTGTCGGCTGCTCTCCACCACCGCCCCCCTCCCCTCTGTATAAACACGACCACCTTTTTCCATGACCCCATCCTCAGCCTGGGAGGGAACCCAGGCACCCTCTGCTCCAGCCTGGGCCCCCAGAGGGAACCCCAGAGGCAGCAGTGGGCTGGGTTTCCCTGGCCTTCTGCCACCCTTGGGGGAGTCCAGACCCTCGAGTCTCCACCTCTCATCCCCAGGTGCCCTGCCTCCACCCCACTGGCCCCAGGGAGGGGCAGTGCCCAGGAGGCAGGCAGGCAGGCAATGCCAGTGGAATGTGTGTGGGCATCGGAGGGCATGGGCAGGGTGGGGCAGAAGGGGGAACTGGAGGTGCCAGTTAGGTGGCTTTCTGAGCCAGAGGTGGGGGTGTGCCGGGGTGGGGGGGTGGGGGGTGTGCCCTGTGTGAGCTACCAGCTACTCTAAGCCACAGGGTGTGTGTGTGTGTGTGTGTGTGTGTGTGTGTGTGTGTGTGTGTGTGTCTGTTTGTCTGTCTATTTTGGATACCCTGACTCCAGGCACCCATTCACCGCCCTGTGCCCCTTGCCCCCTTCCCTGTCCTCTCTCTTCTTGCCTCAAGGACATGGGATGTTGCCTGTAGTCTTCAATCAGCATCTGAGGAGGACTGGTGAGGGCAGCCGCCAAGTGCTGGCACTGCCATGGCCCTGGGCCTGAAGGGTACAGTCGCGGCATCTCTTGCCCTACAGACCCCTAGACTCCTCCTCAAAACCCCCTGCCCTCCTCCCCAACCACTGCCATACCCTGTGGCCACCTGCAGAGACTCCCACACACTGGGTCAGGTTGAAGCCGGGCTGTGACTGCCCAAGACAGAGGCATCCCCAGCAGGGCCCCAGACTAGGACTCCTGAGTCTCTGCCCAAGTCTCCTGCTTGTCCTTTGTTCCATTTGGGGTGCCCTCAAGAATACTTTCCGAGGAACCCCCACCTTGTCCTAGCCAAAACTCACACCAGAGGATGGGAGTATTTGGGGTGTGTGTGTGGGGGGGGGGTCCTGAGCTGTCCTGGCTGTAAGGAAACTTTGAAGACCCCTGTCCCACCCACTTGTCTCTCCAGACTCTTGGCCCAAGGTCCACTTGCTTATGGACCTTCCTTGCCCTGCTGATGTCCAAGCTGAGCCAGTCCAGCCAGCAAGGAGGAACTGGACCAGCTGGGACCACACATCCACCTTCAGCCTCTCCAGGCAGAGCGCAGGGAGGGCCCGGTCTGCGCGCACTGGGGGGCCCTGTCTGCCCTCCCCTGCCAAGCACAAAGGTAGGCTGGAAGCCGGCTGACAGTAGCCGCGTCCCCCAAGGCGCTCCCCGCCACTCAGCGCAGCCAGAGGAGAAATGAAGGGTGGGTAAGACCCAGCCCAGCCCCAGCCCGTCGAGAATCTCCCCTCTCGCGTCAGAACTGACCCCAAGACGGGGCAGGGAGCCCCTGGCGCCCAGGCGCAGCCCGGGCAGCCCCGGCGGCGGGAGGGCGCCGGCCGGGCTCCCAGCGCCCCCGCCCCAGCCCACCTCCCCGAAGGACCCCGCGCCCGCGGGCGGCGGCGGTGGCGAGACTCGGTCCCCGCCTGACTCACCTGGAGGGGGAGGGAGGGGGAAGGGCGGCCGCCGAGCCCCGAGGTCCCGGCGTCGGGCGGTCGAGGGGATGAAGCGCCGCAGTGTCAGGGGCTCGCGGTAATGGGGGGCTCTGGGGGGGCACGGGCTCTAGGCTGGGACTGTCCCGGGGCCTCTCGGAGCCCGCCCGCCCACGTGACCGCCCCAAAATATCCGACACATTTTCTCCCAAACCGCACACTGACTCTGCAGGCGGGGACACGGAAAATATTTTCTTTCTTTTTCTCCCTCCCCACCCCCCCATCTCCCTCCCAGCCCGCTCCCTCCTCCCCCTCCCGCCCTCGCTCCTCCCTCCCCTGCCGCCTGCCCCTGCCCGGCTCCCTCCTCGGTGCCCTGGGGCTGGGGGGCGGGGTGGGGGCGGGGCGGGGCGGCCCGGACGCCGGGGTCCTGCTCCTCCCCTTTGTTGTGTTTCCGTGGCTCCATCCTCGGGAGGCCGGGCACGGCTGGCAGGAGAGGTCAGTGTCCTGGGCCCGTGATGCCACTCTTTCTCTCTGCCACTTTCCCCTGCCTGCCTCGGCGGGGACGGTCGAAGTCTCTGGCCGGGCCGCGGCCCGGGGCGGCCCGTCTCGGGGGGCTGCGCACGTTAGGCGAAGGGGCTGCAGCCTCGTGCCCCGGGGGCCGGGGGCAGTGACCAGCCGGGCTTTGCCAACGCAGATGTCACTGTCTTTGCACTGCTCGGCCTCACCTGCGGGTCAGTCTGGCCTGCCCAGACGCGGCCCTGGTCCTGGGCGCAGGCTGGTTAAACTAGCGGGGCGCGTGGGGGCTGCTGCGGCCTGGAAGACCTCCGGGCGCTCCGCCTCGAGTCGCCTCCGGGGTTGTCCCCACCTTTAGGCTGGAGCTGGGAGGGGAGCGGCTGGGGAGGAGACCTGGAGGCACCGTCGCCGGGAGTGGGAGGAGCCCTGGGCTGGGTGTGAGGGAGAAAGCCCGAGCCCAGGGTGTGTGTCTGCCTCAACCAGCGCCTGCCTGCCCGGCCGCCCGCGCGCCCGCCGGTGGACGTGGGAGATGCGCCACGGATGTTGTTGCTGCTGCGCGCGGGAGCGCGCGCACGTGCACGCGCACGCACGTGTGCTCAGTCAGTGTCAGTGTCTGATGGAAACATTCCCCAACTTCCACTCGATCGCCACGGGCTCTCAGCCCTAGGTCGGGAAGCTCGGGCCGTCAGACTCGGTTCTGCTGATAATGGATGGAAGGGAAAAGATTCTGAAGTCCTAGAATACACAGACCCCAACACGCCCACAGGGATTAGGGGTGGAGATGAGAAGATAGAGGCGCCAGATGAGGGGTGGAGGTGAGAAGATAGAGGCGCCAGCGGTCCTAGGGGCCGGGCTGGGCTGGAGAGACGCACCCAAAGGACCTTCCCCAGCAGCAATCCCAGGGTGACCAGCACCGGAGACATGGACTCCTGGTCTCGTCACATTTTCCGAGCTGGAATTGCTTTGCTCTGTCCTCGCTGCTACCCGGGGGGCCAGATGTCTCCCCTCCAGGGAAAGGCCGCTTTTGGTAGCCAGAGTCAGATGAAATTGGGGGTGGGGGCAGAGAGGACTTGCTGCCTTGGCCCCAGGAGAACAGGCGACGTCAGTGGGGGTGCAGACAAGCCCCCCCCTTTCACTCTAGGGGTGGAAAGAGCTGGGAATAGGTACTCCAGGGTCCCGTCCCCAGGTGGCCTGGCTGATGTTGACTTTGCTTGGTTACCCTGGGAGCAGCTCTGGCAGAGTGGGAGGAGCTGGTGTCAGAGCTGGAACCAGGCGTCCAGGCTGGGGTGGGATGGCGCCCCGCCAGTGTGGCAGGGCTTCTGCCAGGAGGCTGCCAAATTAACCCCTCCTTCCCTGGTGCTGGTGGCTGGTGGAAGGAGGGCGGGCCCAGCTGTGGTTAGTGAATGTGACCCTAAGTCCCCGCCCCCTCCAGCACATCTGTACTTGGTTTGCAGTGAATGAGTCTCCTGTCCTCAAGAACGGGCGGGCGAGGCCCTCCCTGGCCCCTGGCAGGGCATCCTGACACACAACCAGGCATTAGGCCCATAATGCTCTCCCTGCTGGGTATCTCCTCTCTCAACGCTTCCCAGCGTCCCATTTTCCTTCTCTGAGGGCCTCAGGGGATGGCCCCCAAAAGCTCCAGCTCTGAGACTGCAGCTGGGGTAGCAAAGAAGGACGAAAAGGGATGGGGGGGTGGCAAACCACTTGGGGTGGACAGGAAAGAGTGAGGATTCCATCTGTCTTTTCCCTCCTTTCGTCTCAGTCTGTCTGTCTGCCTGCCGCTGTCTGTCTCTGGTGGGTGTGTGTCCATCCTCAGTCTTGGTAGCTGTGACTCCTCCCCTTGGTGGCCTCCTCAGTCCCCAGCCAACACAGCAGCTGGGGGGAGGGGAGGTGGGGCTGCCCAGGAAGACCCGCCCAGTGCCCATCCCTCCCCTTGGTATTGCCTCACTGCACAGGCCCCTCCCCAAGACCCAGAGACTGGGTCCTTCATGGCACTAGTAGTGAGCAAACAGAACAACCCAGTTAGATTGGGGTTCAGGTTCTTTTCTCCTGCTTGCAGTGGTCTAGCCGGGGATCCATAAGGGATCCTACTTTGGAAACTGGTAGCCAGAACGCCCTCAACTGCTCCTTCTCGTGGGTCACCCCTATTTCAGGCTTTGTCTGTATATGGTTACCGCTCTATCACCAATGCAACTTGGAGAAATTATAGCTTGGGGACCCTAGGACCAGATTTCCCGTGCCCCTTCATCACAAAGACCAAGAGAACAGATCCATAGTGGAAGAAAAAGACCCAGACACTGACTTCACCTTGACTTTGCTATATTGTCCCACCCCAATGATCACCCCGCCCCTCCCCACCAGCGGCAGGAAACTGAATAAGTACTGTCCCCAGGCCTAGTCTGATGCTGGGGGAATGGCCTTTGCCACACTCCGAGGTGGCTGGCAGATGTCTGCAGGAGGTGGGGGAGCTCGGTTCTAGCCCCGGAGGACGTCATTAAGGCATGGAAGTGCCATGGGGCCTGGAGACCTGGGCACCCGGGAGCGAGATGAAAACATGTTTTGTCCAACACGTGTCTCCTTTGCTTCCCTCCCCTCCTTTCCCCTTCCCTCCCCTCCTCTCCCCCCTCTCCCCTCCTCTCCCCCCTTCCTCTCCCTTCCTCCTCCCCCCCCCAAGGCCTGTGCTGCACACCCGTGGCTGGTGCCTGCCCCAGGGGCTTGCTCAGTTTTCTCCCCTGTACCAGGCCTATTCTGCTGCCTGCCAGCTTGCTGGCTCTCTAGGTGAATGAGTCTGTGTGGACAGTCTTTCCCAGCCTCCGTGCTGCCCAGATTTCCACACAGAATAAGAGCTTGATTTTTTTTTTTAACTTCTTGATTTTGAAACACAGGATTTTAGAACTAGCCTAAACAACTCTAGGAATTTCTTCCCTGAACGAGCACCACTCATTAATTCAGCACATCTTCGTTAAGTATCTGCTGTATGCCAAGCACTGTGCCAGGCCCTGAGCATACTCTGGTATGGTCTCTGCACTCGCAAACTGGACAAGTAGATGTTGACCAGGTATCCAGAAAATTGAAAGGGATAACCAGGGTGGAGAGGCAGAATAGGGGACTGTGGGAAGAGCGCCTCAGTCAAAGACCCCAGTCAAAAGAGATCAGGAAAGGCTTCTGGGGAAAAGTGAGGGGGCCAGTGGCCAGCAGCGGGGGAATAAGTAATGGCGGGAGCAGAGTATGGGAGAGATTCTGGAATCAGGGCCCTGGCTCCCAGTCATCCTGCTCCCCCAGAAAGAAGAGGGGCCCTCCACCCCTGTTTCCGCCCTAGACTTCAGTAAGCTGGAAGGGAGGGGTGGCAAGCATCTCCTGACCCTGCGGCACTGGCACTTAGAAACCCTGTCCCGGGTGGATTCCACCCATTCCCCCCATTCCTCCAGAAAGGGCATCTGAGGCGCACACTGGGAAGCGGCTTAGAGCTGAGATTAAGCAGAAAGCAGGGCCCCACACTGGTGGCAAATCCCCCCGGGTGAGGGATTCCTGCCGGGCCTCGCAGACAGAAGTCTTCCCCTCTGAGCTGTTCCATCATGCACCTCCCCGCTCTGGTCCAGCCCCGACCTGTCCCGCTCCTGGAGCAGGAGGCTGCCCTCCCCCTGCCTGCCTGCCTGCCTGCCTGCCTGCGTGTGAGGTGAGTGCCCTGGTGTCTGCCAGTCACTGTGTGGGTGGGTGTAGCAGTCTGTCTGCAAGGACCCTCCACCCAGGGGGCAGGGGGTGAGCTCTCCTCTGTCCACTGCTGGGCTTCCAGCGCCTCCTGCCCCAACACCACGGTTCTTCCTTTCCAAAGAAAAGGAATGGATGGGAGGAGAGAGCCGGCTTCTTTGTAATTGGCCTCCTCCGGAGCTGGCAAAGAGGTCATGGGACCAGTGGGGTTAAGTTCCAGCCCTGCTCTGACCCACTTTCTTCCCTGTGCCCACATCCCCTGGGGCCAGGGTGCTGGGTGGGGCCGCCCTGGCAACCCTGCTCCCACACCTGGGACTTCCCCTGGATGGAAACTCCCAGAACCCTGTTGTCCTGCCTCCCCTGCCAAGTCCCACCGACTGCTGGGATCTGTTCAACTTCAGTCTGCTCCTCTCGTGTGCCAGCTCTTGGCTAGACTGTGTCTCTGTCCCAGCCCCCATAGGGCCCTGAGGATCTGGGCCCACTCTCTGGGACATTCTTTGATCTCTGCCCCTTCTAGAAGACTTCTTTGAAGAACAGATGTAGGCCTGGAGGCGGGAGGTGTGACCCTGTCCTTTGCTGAGCACCCACTATGTGCCAGGCAGTGTGCTAGGCATATATACACATATATATTTAAAGATTTTTTTATTTATGCATACAGAACTGGGGTACAGGCCAGAGATGCAGAAACAGTGAGAGGATTCACCCAAGTAGGGAGCAGAACAGGCAGATGGACTGAAATACACTGCTGAGGGGAGCAGCAGGCATGTCAGGAGAGGTCTGCTGCGCCATGTGGTCAGCTCCCTGGCCAGGGATCAAACTGGTGCCGTAGTGGCTGTTGATAGCTTGGCAGTGCTGCTCTTGAACCCGTTGTGCCACCAGGGAGGGCCCCCTGGGTATATAGAGTGCTCACTTAATGCACACTGCAGTCCAGACAGGTATTATTTTATAGATGGGGAAGCTGAGACCAGAGAGGTTAAGCAACTTGCCCAGTATCACACAGGAAGG